CTTGATCGCCTTCTTGCAGCTCGCTCAGGTCATGGAGACTTTGCTGACTATCACCGCCGCTTTCACCATTCGGACGCTCTTCTCATCTACGCTTGCGGGCTAGAAAAGTCTCCCGAGCACTTCTTCTTTTATCGACTCAATCGGAGTCGGTCCCGCCTTTGCAGCGGAAATAAACACCCAACGACGGAAATACTCTGGATTCTAGGATCTCCTGAAGTAGCCATAGCTTTTAGTAAATTGCTTCATGACGCATGCTTTTTCACAGAATTACAACGACGGCACAAGCAAGTACTCTAGCTCCTCAAACCTTAAACTACATTCGCTATGGCTCAGAATGAAATAATATTGGTCTAAGTGATGGATAGCTTTCCTGTGAATATAGATAATTATCTATTTACTGTAGTGCAAATTAAAAGTCTTAGCGGGGGGGCCCTTTTGATTTCTTTCGATAGTTCGGGGTACATGGCAGGTAGGCCTTGGCCCATTTATAAAATTTCGGGCTTATCTAAAAGTATTGGCACGTCGGATAGCTTATATAAATTGAGCTGGCCAACATGAGTCCTTACGGTTATATTGTGAGCTAGCACGACGTTAAATAATAATAATAATAATAATAATAATAATAATAATAATATAACACAGGTATACCTCAGGGATCAGCTCTGTCTCCGATTCTATTCCTGTTTTTTGTCAGCACCCTCTTACCACTGCTTTAAACTCCCTCTAGCTCAGCGGTAGGATTTTTAGATGACACTAATATACTGACGTGGTCAAGCTCTACTGAAGAAAACTGCCGAATGTTAGAGGAAAATCACAGCATATGCGAGGAGTCGGCGGAGAAACACGGAGTAAAATTTGCACCGGAGAAGTACCAATTGATGCATTTCACATGAGTAAGGAATAGGCACAACCTTAAAGCCACCGTGAGTATACAAGGGCACCTAACTTCACCGCAGTCCTCTCTTCGAGTTCTCGGAGTCTTCTTCGACCCCAAACTCCACTGGGGGACCCACATTAAGAATATCCAGCAAAAATCGTGCACTCAAGTGCAATCAATTAGTAGACTGATACAATCAACTTGGGGAGCGACATTCGTGAAGCCCAAGCTGCTATACAGCTCGATAGTGAGACCGGCTCTTACGTATGGGTCCTCGACATGGGCTGACGCCGGGCCAACAGGAAAGATACCTGAAAGGATAGTGAAACCCCTCAGAAGTATTCAAAGGAAATGCTTAAAGCTTGTTGCAGGTTCCTACAATCCTACTAGCAGCAGAGTGCAAGAGCACGAATCGTCCGTCCTCCCTATAGAGATATACCTGAAACAAAGGAGGGTCCAGCACGCCGGACTATCAGATAAACTCCCAGTTCAACAGACAATCCGATCGACATGTAAGAGGATAAAGCTGCCCGCAAACGTGAGAGAAACCCCACATGCGTTGAACAAGAGTAAAGACATCGCCGAGTGGACAAGAACTTGCGGAAGGGAAAAGGACAAGAGAAGGCAGAAAGAAGCTGGAAAGATAGCGGCCTTTCAGGATGTTGCAAATCTAGACTCAGCATGTATGAAGGCTTAGATTTCTAGGTATGATCATCAAGATCAGTTGAGCTGATTCGATTGAATATGATTAAGCTCAGTTGGACGAAATAAGACTCAGTGGCATCTGGAATGCAGTGGCTAGGAAATGCTACCTTGCGATAATTGAGTGGCTGGTTGTTGCTAGATCACTGGGAGTTCGGGATCTGTATTTAAGCACAGACTCATCTGTATATGTAAAAATAAGTTAACGGAGTCTTGGAAAGCCGCAAATATATTCACCGATAAAAAAACAGGCAGTACAAAAATTAACTTCAGAGGTACACCTTTAAGTATCCACCGTAACCTGAGCAGGGCCCAAAGCAGTGTCGCGATTCAGCTAAGAAGCGAGCATATCGGCCTCAATTCTTACCTATACAGAAGAAAGGTACCCGGAGTAGAAAACCCTCGCTGTCAATGTGGATATCCGTCACAGAACGTCAAGCACATGCTATTGGCGTGTCCGCAGTGGGCAAGTGGAAGAGGCGATGTTCTCCGACAGGCTAAAGACAGGTCATTTGAAGCAATGATGAACAGTCCAGAGGATGTCGCTCGAATCACACAGTGGATACTAAGCAAAGGATGGATAAAACAGTTTCGACTTGCGGGGGAAGTGGAGGCAGCAATGTCGGAAAAATGAATCGATCATGAAGGGGAGAGAACGGAGTCCACACTGGCTTAACAGTGTAAAATGCACTTCCTGAAGGTAAACTAGGAAAGTTTGATAGCTATTAAACAGGCAGGATCAGGGGGTTTTCACCAAATTGGTTTCCCCCTTTGTAAATAATGAAGATAGTCACCTGCATGGACCCATAGGGTGCCTGATCGGGTTAAATGAAATCAAATTCAAAATTCAAAGTTAACGGAGTGTTATATATTATTAATTCATATTGAGAAGAGAGTTCGATATCACATACAACTATCAATAAATTCTTGTCCGAAATTGTACACTTGTTCTTCGAGATATTTCCTCCTAGAAATCCTTGACAATTTCTAACACAGGAGTGGAAAGATTTATGGACAAGCCAGATCAGAAAACACCGCCCTGGCCGACCAGCATCATCCGATCCAGAACATTGGAAAGCGGTAAATATATTTACTGATAAACAAACAGGCAGCGTCAAAATGAACTTCAAAGATACACCCTTAAGAATCCACCGTAGCCTAACCAGGGCCCAAAGCAGTGTCGCCATTCAGCTAAGGAGCGATCATATCGAACTCAATTCTTACCTGAGCAGAAGAAAAGTACCCGGAGTAGAAAAGCCAAGCTGTCAATGTGGATATCAGTCGCAAAACGTCAAGCATATGGTGTTGGCGTGTCCGCAGTGGGCAAATGGAAGAGGCGACTTTCTCCGACAAGCTAAAGACAGGTCATTTGAAGCAATGATGAACAGCCCAGAAGATGTGGCTAGAATCACATAGTGGATACTAAACAACGGGTGGATAAAACAGTTTCGACTGGTAGGAGAAGTCGAGGTAGCAATGTCGGATAAAGTAAATAGATCTGGAAGGAGAGAGGACGGAATCCACACGGGCTGAACAGTGTACACTGCACTTCCTGAAGGTAAACCAAATAAATTGATAGCAACATAAAAAGACAGGATCAGGGGGTTACAACCAAATTGGTTTCCTCCTTTATAAATAATGCAGATAGTCACCTGCATGGATCCATAGGGTGCCTGATCGGGTTAATTGAAATCAATTTCAAATTTCAAATAATAGTAAAATCTACCATGATGAGCTTAGGTAAGCCGTAGCACGTAAATGTCCAAACTTATATGCGACAGTAGGCGCAATTAGCACAGTCGGGACATGTGTGGAGAGAGTTGATCTTGTCGGGAACCCGAAACAATCCAAAAAATGGTCGAATCCTAAATTCGAGAGTTAGAATTTCCAACAATTTTCCTTTTCTATCTATTTTTATGGTTCTTATGACAAATAAAGCTATGCACGTAGATAGCAGTGAGTTCGTCGAGATCACATACCCGTATCACGGGTCATGGGTGTGGGACGTATGCTTGATACGAATAGCATTCAAATCAAATCAAAGATATCGACCCAGATAAAATCACATCAGTTATTATATACCAATTTTATAACGATGCGGTAAGCTCTTTAGATCGGTCTCGAAATTAATTCAAGTGATCTAGTCACGTTCCGTATTCAAATGGGGGTGAAATATGATACGAATCCAACCAGTAACGGCCATATTTTGCGCGTCACGTTAGTGAGGGATGCTATTTAATCTACAGAATACCGCAGGTCTTCAGAATCCACCTTTCGGAAGGAAGCTGCGCTGTGAAGACCATGAATATCTCTGTAGAAGACTTAGAAGATTTCATCATAGAATTAGCTCTCTGCATCGGTGGTCACCGACGTACTGATCATTATCATTTCAGAGAATCCGGATAAATTTTAGGGCATGACCCTCAGGATCAACTGGCATATAATTGTAATACTCAAATTAAAAATTAACCTATTAATTGAAGAGCTATTTAGGTAGATCTTCAAGTAGTCTTTCATAGTCTAGGACTCAGTAGAGACTTAAATTTAAATCAATCAATCAATCATTCCGGATAAATACATAATTTACTTATGTCGTGCAACTTTTATTCAACGTGGATCAATGCACAGATTGCAGCATAAGTGAGAAGCTTAGTTATTAATACCTATCAGACTATTGTGATTGTGAGGAAAGGAATTCCATACAGGTAGTAGGTTTAATACTATGATGTGCTCGTCAATGTTATGGAGAAGATGATGATATGTGTTCATTCTATTAGAATCGTTTTATCAATAGTTGATGTCCAAATATAGGAGATTACTTCTCTCTATACCTATTATTCAACCATACACTCGTTAGTAGAATACTCCATCTTGTCATATAGGATATTCTATTACATGCTATAGAATAGTCTACGTTCTTGTCTATCTCATCCACATACAACTGTCTATATTGTCATAATACCAACCAGATCTAACGCAGCCTATCTGATTGGCTGAAAGAGTTCACATCACAACGCATACTAATAGTCAGTAAATACTCAGACATAAGAGGCGACTAATAAACTTCTTGGCAGTGTTTTCAAACGAAATCCTGAATATAACTGCCTCTGAACTCATAAGAGACACTTTTCATGTACATGAAATAGAGATCATTTGTCGGAGCTAGGTTGTTAATTGCGCAATGGTTGTTTTCAAAAATTTCCGTCTCACTGAGGTGTCAGTCTGATGAAGGGCCTGGTAAGTGTACCATTAGACCACTCGGCCTTTCCAACGTTATCTGAAGGATGCAGGTCCTAGTGCGAGTTCCAGCTAACGGAAGTTTCCGAGAATTATGTCACCGCTTGACATTTACGTAATCAACCATTTTCTTTTCATCAATTACAATTAATTTTTTTTGAGGCTACACGACTTTCAACTCATGATGGACTCTAATTCCGCGAAGCGGCGGAAACTAGACTGTTCGATAGATAGCCATTCACTAGGAGAAATTGGAAGTAAAAATTTCGCCACGACCAACAATCAGTCTCACGAAAATACAGCTCCAGAATTCAGTGAAGCGAACTCCCGCAAGCCACTCCCACATACTCGAAAGGAAAATCTGGAGCACACAAATGGCTCCAAAGTTTGTAGTATTTTTACGCTTCAAGCCGATGAACTGCTGGCAGAAGTTGAACCCAACTACGAGAAAGAGTTTGATGGTGTGAATGATGTCCTTCACAGACTGAAAGGCCTCATTGAGAATATTGAGGCACGGCAACCTTTGTCAGTAAGTGTACACTATACCAAAATCTCTTGACCTAACTTCATAAAAACAAGGTTAATGAAGCCAATTTATCTCTAGAGAAGGAGCACAAAATTAGGATCCCATATTCTGATCCCAAACCAGACCAAAATGCAGCCTATAAACTAGCATACGAAAAGCCTCTCAGGATCAACATCGTCGGTAGCTACCCTACAAAGATAATGGTCAAGTCAAAATCAACACCAAGTATAGATCTTATCGTTGTCATGCCAGATTCCATTTTCCAGAGCAAAGACTTTTTAAACTACAGGTACTTCTACAAGCGTGCGTATTACTTAGCTTGCATAAGCGCTGGCCTTAGTTCAAGCCCGTTCGTTCAAGAATTTGATTTGAGGTTTGAATATTTTCACGGCAATGATCTTCATCCAGTCTTGGTTGTATCAAACAAAAAATGTCAGATCTATCCAAACTCTAATCCTACATTGCTGATTAAAAGTAGTAGTTTCAGAAAACTCTAATAAGTATCCAGAAATACGAATTCTACCTGCTGTCTCCTCAACAGCTTTCAACGCTCTAAAGCTTAGGCCTAATAAGAATGCAATTCGCTCAAGCAAAAATAACACTGGAGATCTCATTCCAACCCCTTTTTACAACGCATCTCTACGATCTGACTGCAATTACGAGCCTTATCTAAAGATAATACATGTATCTGAGAAAAAATCGCAAGCTTTCTGCCATGCTTGCATGCTCGGTAGGATTTGGCTCAGTCAACGAGGCTTTAATAGCACCATTCCGGGAGGTGGATTTGGTAATTTTGAGTGGGCAGCCTTAACTTCTTTGCTCTTAAAAGGAGGCGGACCCAAAAGCCAACCAGTTCTTTCGCATAAATATACTAGTAACCAGATGTTTAAGGCCTTGCTCCAATTTCTTTCTGCAAATGACTTTGCGAAGAAGCCATTCATGTACCATACGGATGAAATAATCCTTCGTAATTCTCATAAACCCATTTTTTTTGACGGCCCTCGAGAACAGAACATTTTGTATAAAATGACACCCTGGTCATATAATCTTCTGCAGGAAGAAGTCAGATTAACCTTAGAGTCTCTTAGCGATGAAACATTTGACAATTTCGACTCAACGTTTATAATCAAGTCGTCACAACATTTATTGAGATTCGATAGCACATTCACGATTTCTCAGCCAAATAAAGATAGTAAAGTCGAATATAGTGATCATCTCACAAAATCTCGGAAGTATTGTTATCATTTATTTGATATACTTCGGCAAGGTTTAACTGACAGGATCAAAATGATCAATATTCATGAGCCAACACCTGTAGGTTGGTCTATTACAACTCCAGGCCCGAATACAAACAACAGTCCAGCTACGGTCTCCGTTACGTTTGACGCCAAAAATATAGATCGCCTCGTAGATCATGGCCCTCAAGCCGAGGACAAAGCCCAAGCTGCTAGCTTCCGAAGGTTTTGGGGAGAAAAGTCAGAGCTGCGCCGTTTTAAGGACGGGAGCATATTAGAAACTCTTGTTTGGTCGCCAGGGTCTACACAATCAATTTTCGAAAATGTCTTGTCTTTCATTCTAGGTCGCCATTGTGGTCTAGAAACGGTCAATAGTCTCAAGTTTTTGGGTAATGGCCTCGAAAAGCTACTCCCGAAATCGGTTACCGATCTCAAGCCCTTTGAACCGATAAGAGAAGCTTTCAGATTATTCGAGACTCAAGTAAGAGGACTCGAGGGATTACCCCTTCAGATCAAGCAGATTTCTGGGATAGACCCTAGACTGCGATATACATCTTTTGAAATACCTGCCTTCAATCATGTCGCTCTCATGATGAATCCTGTTGAGGTTTTAATCGAATTCGAGGGCTCTGGAAGATGGCCTGACAATATTCTCGCAATCCAACGGTCTAAGGTAGCATTCTTACTTAAAATAAGCACACTCTTGGAAAATGACGATAGCTGTATTAACGCTCGGCTTGGCATTGAGAATGAATTTCAAAAAGTGCACAACTGCGCATTTCTTGACGTAACCTATGAATCCGGAGCCTCTTTCCGACTGAGGATATACGTTGATAGAGAAATTACTCTTCTTCAACAGCTCCTAAAAGATGAGTCCCTAGATCAATTCAGTCGCGAAGATGCCCTTTCTGGTCTGTCGAATATCAAAAGAAACTTTATCCAACTTCTACTTCACTCTCAGTCAATACACAAACTCTGCACTCGCTTTCCCCTTCTTTCAGCAACCATTCGCCTGGTTAAGCACTGGTTCAACTGTCATATGCTCCTGGGACATTTACGAGAAGAAGTTGTTGAAATGATCGTTACTCATATCTTTCTACGTCCATACCCCTGGCGATCGCCGTCCTCAGTAATGACTGCATTCTTCAGAACTATGTTATATTTGTCAAGATGGGACTGGAGATCGACTCCATTAATTATTGACTACAGTGGGGAAATGGGTAGCGATGTGGTCGATTCCATCAAAAATCGTCTAGAAGCATGGAGAAAAATCGATCCGGGGCTAAATAGATGCGTACTTTTTGTCGCTTCGAACCATGATTCAACGGGTATGACTTTCTCTGACCAGGGCCCCTCAAAGATGATCGCTGCCCGGATGACATCTCTGGCTCGATCTGCCTATAAATTAATCAGAGAGAAAAGCTATGATCTAGATCCTGCATCTCTATTCTCATCATCTATAGCAGATTATGATTTTGTTATACATTTATCTAGTACTTTTGCAAATGGTCATTTGAACGCTGAAAGTCGGAATTTTTCCAAATTTAAGAACGTCAGAGTTCAGTCTAACAGTAACTTGGCTAATGTAGGATACCAAGCAATCCAGCTTTATCTAAATGAACTCGAAAGAATTTATACAAACCACATAATATTTTTTTATGGGGATTCAAGCTCTGTCATTACTGGACTATGGAATCCCACCTCCCTGTTGCCAAGGTCGTTCAAAGTGAATCTATCATATTCTAGCTGCATCAGTGAAAAGAGTGGCTTTGGAAAAGATCAAATAGTTATCAACAAGAACTCTATTCTGGCCGAAATTGCAAGACTTGGGGGGGATATGGTCTCCAAAATCAGTCTTAAGGATCTACCAGACAAATAGTAACAATAGAACTTCTTGTCAGAGTAAACATTTCATCAGATGGTAAATATTACCCGTGATTAAGAGCCTTTCTAAGCCTAAAAAAGGTTAATACTTTTCGAACCTCATCAAAGTTTAGTTTTCCCGTGATCGGGAGTATTCTCCAGATTAATAACGAAGGGTCGATTATAACTTGGAGTTTAAGAAAGGCATAAAAATGTAAAAAGATTAGCGCATATTGAAAAATAAGAAACTTGCAGGCGCAATGATACTGCTACTTTATGTGAAGAGAAATAAAGTCTTGTATTTTCTGAACTTAATCTCTTATTATTGAAAAGTTAAATGTATATAATATGGTATCCAAAAAGTTAGTGAAACGCGACTGGATTCAAATCTTAATCATCTATAGCATTTAGACTATGATTCCATTAGACGGATAATACGGTAGAACTGAAAGTATAATTGATAGAGGATAGTGTTAACAGAACGTATATATCTCACGGCACGCATAGCATCAAAGAATGCAGCGATTATGCCACTACTACTGTTGATACGGCAAAGTATCGTATAAATCAAAAGTACTAGGTTGCAACGTGGTGGTTAAATCGTGATTTCTTATTCTCTCTCTGTTCCCTCCTGGTGAGCCAGTAACGGGGATCCCACCATCAAATTAAACAAACCCTTAATTAGAATGGAAAAGATAAGTTGTATTTAAATAGTCTGTCTTACATAGTTATAAACTCAGATGGGACATAAATGGATTATTATTATTATTCTCTCTTTGTTCAGCCCGCAACAGTGAGATACCCTCATTTGCACGGGCTAATTCCATCTAACCTAACTAGGCTTAGCCAACATCATGTGAGGCTTGATGTTGGACGAAGCTCACAACAACTACACTACTGACTTATTATAACGACATTTTCTTTGCGTATACATAACGTTTTCACAGTAAACATAGCAAACTGACGATATTCGATATATAGTCGTCGCCGTCGCCACGTCATCTTTTTAACGAGTTACTGTGCCGGTAAAGACGAAATCTTCACCTTCCAACGGTGCCGGTATAATTGCTTAGTATGCTCTGCGTATCTGGGATAGCCAAGAAGAATCGCATCCGAATCGAAGTCGAAAGCAACCTCAAGCATATCTCTATTTTATGACTTCTCGACAATGCCTCTCTTACTATTCTCATCTGAGTCCTCAACCTCTTTCTAACCACACATCATCTCGCCTCAGCGACCGATAAAGGCGTCATTCCGATCGCAAACAGGAACTTCCCCCATTAATATTCATCCATCTCCCACTACAAATTTACGACGCTATTCGAAATAAATAAAGCTAAGGTCCTGGCTTATGGGTACCGTTGCTCTAATGGAACGAATAACTTGAGGGAGCGCAGGCGACAGGGGGGATGTGGCCACTGAAGCCGATGCCGGGACCGATATTTCTGAGGGGTTTTCAACTTTGGATTTTTTGTGGGCGCCAAGACTGAGGTTTCGACTAACTAGCCAGGAGGGCTTCTTTTGTCGATGAGTTAACGGCACTCCCCAGCGCCCTGAACGGCACAAAAGAAGCTAGGCTAAGCTACTATACAGCAATTAAGCTCTGTCAAGACTTTCTGACATTTCACCACGACCTTCGGGAAGGAGTCTAGAAAGGCAGAGTGTGAATTCTTCGAGGTACCCACAAGTCTACAGCGCCCAGCTGGCCGGCCTCTTCGAACGCTTCAGAAGGGGCAATATGTCTTCGGATTTATTCCTAATGTCGGTATTAGGAGAGCTCCGTACCCAGTGGTTTTTGCGATTTTTCCTGGCTGCCATGCACCCGCAAATGGCCATCGTTTCGTTGGCTGGAGAGGGGAGATAATGAAGGGCAAAGGGCTCCTTTAAGTGTATGATCGAATGAGGACTTGTGAGGGGTGGTACAGTTTGAGGGGAGCTGTATGGGAGGCATAGGAGGGGATATACTACTTGTGTAGGTATTGTTGTGATCTAGGAATAGCTCCGAATTGTTTATGCATACCTGCATAAACGTTATGCTATGGTGCTTAATAAGGATGTTATTGTAGACTGCTGGACAAACAGGAATAGCCGCGCTATGATTGGTGGGATTAGTATGGTCTGAACCTGCAAGGGTGATAGAAGAGTAATTTAGGTGTGGTCCGAAGTACATTGAGTCGGTAGCACACAACCATCTTCTGTTTTTCAGCACATAATAAAGTGCGTAGCATCTTTACTAGTATTTACAATCAACTTTCTACAAGCGCAGTATTTACAGACCATACTCCATTTACATACGAGTAGCAGAGTCAGTATTGAACCCCTAGGTAACCTCATTTTATAATAGGTATCCTTGGCTTGTAGGCAGAATGGACCTGCATGTCCTACATAGTTATAGACTCAGACAGGACAATAAAATGAATTTATAATGACTATAGAGGACTCCTAAAATCTATCAATAAGATACTAGCTACATTTTATAAGTTCCAACTGTTGAACTTTGAATTTTGGTCTTATGGACAGTGAGGAACAAGCCCTAAAATCTGTCATTATTTAATCAGAAATCTAAATGATTGGAAAATTAAAAAAATACAAAGGAAAATTTTTGCTATCTTAATGCAATGCCCAACGCCTGACAATTTTTCGAATAAAAATTTGCCTCTAATATATGTGTTCCACAAAAAGGCTTAATTCTTCCATTCTATCTTTCATACCAGTAATATACCAGTAACATACCATCGTGGTTAGAACCCGATATAATGATACCCATCTCTTGTCTTCCCGCATTACCTGTGTGTCTGGCTTTGTTTTCTGTAGGAGCTTCGCTATCGCTGTAGCACTATCTGAGATTCTGAGAAGTGCCCCGGACGTCTTTATCAGTCACATTTGCACCTAAAGTCTGTTACTTCGTGATAAGCCCTCTCATCATAATTTATGAGGTTTCCATGAAGAGTCTAGCTGATATAAGACGAACTGATTCCCATTTTTGCAGAGCGAAGGCCGGTGGAAGTTCTTGGTACATCATTTAGTCCAGCCCTGAATATCTACTGGTTCTATTCTTTCGCCAACAAGATTCGACAGTTTTTTCAGACGATTCTCTGACGTATCGATTTCGAGCTGCAAAAGATTAGATTTGTTTTAGATTTGACCTCAAAATATAAGTTGCATTGGATAAGACTGGAGGATCATTTGAAGATGTATTAGCCAGTTTATAGTCTTAGATGTTCTCAATAATCAGATAATGATATGGGATCCATCACATCTCTACCGACCCGTTTACTTGTATTAAATTAATGACTTGGTTGACAATGGCTCGAGACGATCTGCTTCGATCTGCTCGAAACCAGCTTCAGGGTAATACAGGAACATATCCAGTCAATATTGCAGCTGTTTCTAGGGCCTTCTAGGCTGCCAAAGATTTTGTTTCGTACGATGTATATTTGAAGTTTTGCCTCTTTCTTATTATATTCTTTTTCTGGAGACTTTTTAGTAGATTTTAATGATTTCTGCTACTAGAATATCGGCTGAATTAAATGCGGTATTTTAAAATGAAATTTTGAACCATAAATGGGCTCTTGTATCATAATTATTCTTTGATGAGTTCTGTAATATTTGCACCAAAATTCTTACCATTAAATCAGGAGATTATCTGATGCTATAAAGATAATCTACTAGTCAGAGGACTATTTCCTTATTTCAGAGAACTTGTCAACGCAGGAAAGATGTTGATCGATTTGACTGACCTTTTTACTCAAGTGCCGACGGCTTATGATGTGCAATTAAAATCTACTACAAGGAATACGCTGACGAAGACTAATGGAATATCCTCTTTAGTTTTATAATGTCCAAGTACGGACTACACAGACGATTTTTGAGCGTTTGCGTGCTTCGCGATGCGGGGCAAACCCGACCTATGATAATATGCTGTTAAAGTACAAGCTTCATGCCTTCTCTCACGCTCACAGCCTACTTATTGCTCGACCATGAAAGTAAACAAGCCTCAGTTTAAGAAACGCTCGGGATCAAACGTACCTTTATTCCCATTACCAATTTTTCAAAACCATTTAGTGTAGCGACAGAATTTAAGATTCAAATGTGAGGCTAGCCCTTATACTTCAATATCTTTCAGTAATACTTCTACTAGAAGTAACTGCGGTCATCGTGCAGACAAACGGACGTCATTTTGAAGACAACCACGGTCGAGGTTCCATAGATTAACTGACAACTGTCAGGCTGAGCAATTATCGACCTTCTAACTACTCCGCACCAACCTTGTCAGATAGTACGCATGCTATGGTCCTGGCTGGTGGAGTATCAAGCGAAGGGAATTATGCGAACCCTGCACAGCCACTTTGTACGAGCACTTCCATGTCGAAATCAATACTGTCAAAGCGCAACGTTCGGGTACCTAGAGCGGCAAGTGGCCAGTTCGCGTAGTCGAGGCCGCAGGAGTGCTCATTTGGGGGACTCCCGGCAGCGCCACCTAAGGTCCAGATCGCTGTTATGTAACGAGTGAGTCTTGCCCCATTTCTAATCTACTAGGGCCCAAGCTCGCTTGCTAATAGGGCATGGGCATGTGCCAGATAGTTCTAAGCTCTACTTGATTAGTAATCTGAGGCAGTGAAGTCTAAGCCACACCATCAGCCAGCCATTTTACCACGTCGGCCAGCGTGGCATCTAAAGGCTTATTTGTTAAACTGTTCAAACTCGGAGATGGGGAGAAGCAGAGGATTGGCGCATCTATTTCTTGACCTGATCAGCCTGCATGTAGCAGAAGTCGACTCTTTCGCTCACGGTTTCTATTTACGCCACTTATCAAAGAACTTGCAATCTCACAGCGCTGAGCTACATCAGAATACTGATGTACCAGGAGCTTGTGTTCGACTGATCAGCTCTCTTTGTACTCACACAGGAAATAATTATGGTGGTGCCTTTCGAGCTTGACGACAACTATTAAACTGGAACTGAACTGCTAAATCTACAGTTGTAGAGGGCATAAACATTATTTACTTTGTGCATAGGCTCCTCCGGTAGTGCGATGGGTGTTACCTCTATAAGACGTTGGCTAACAATCAAAGTCATTGCACGATAAGTGTCGACACAAAATTCAAGGTACTGTGAACGCAAACTCACAGTCGAGAGGGTGGAGTCAAGCCTGACACATTGACAAAATCTCTAGATATCAACAAATAGTATTAAACAGCTATGTAGCGTCCAATGGCAGCATACGGGCCAATTTGTACTTTCTAGGAATATCCTCGAGTTGGGTATGGTCCATCCATGGAGATAGAAGATAGCTCCAAATACGAAAGCGATACTGTCGTAAGCATTATCCTCAGTAACTTCACGAGTTAGTTTGGGTTGGATCGATTTGCAGAAGATCTTTCAGCCGATTTGGTATGCAACCAAGCTAACAGCAGCTAAGATATCGCAAACCTCGATAACTCTTGAGAAATTAATATGGCCTCTTGATGTATCTCGTGAGGAAGACGAATTTATTTAGTCTCGATAACCTCCGTCTCGTGTTAGGGTCAGGTCGCTTCCTTAATTGGAACAATTGGGGGAACTTTCAAGTGATTGGGCTATCCTAGCATAGTTGAAGCCGGTACACGGGGGGACCGTGAACTAATTAATCGTAGCACCAGTTTAATACTCGCTTGTACAGAGTGTGCCTTGGATCTAAATCCCCTGAGATGTTTTGCCGTAGAATGTGCAGGCACTCAGCGGTATTTCGAGATGTGACAATCAAAACACGCAATGAGTTGCCATGTGTGCAGTCCGACAAATACATTTAATGTCAAAGCAGGTGTCAGGACCCTATTATGTTTAGTATTTAACGTCTAACTAATGATTATAAAACACTAGTCTCGAATTCAGGACCCTATTATACTGTCAAATTACTGTATGGCCCTCTATAACAAGACTCCATAACACGTGATGTAGGGTCACGGGCTGTTCGTCGGCACGGCGTTATACTAAACTCTATTTCAAATCAGATCAACATGCAGAAAGTCATTAGGCTTGATCTGTCGCTAGTCAAACATCGACTAGACCCTCGAGCCTTGACATCGCTAGATATTACAAAACTTTCTGACCAGATATCTTTATTCTAACTGCTCAACTTACACCTCCATATTATATTCTCATTTACCCTGCATGAACCTCTCTTTCTTTTTCTAATCCAAATAATTGCAAGGTTGCTCCCTCTCGTCTTCGACGAGACAACCGCAGACTCAATTTGTCTGCTGGGCGAAATGCTGCGCGGTCCACGATGACCGACTTGTGCGTTAGAATCTTCTTTCATTCAGTCCAGTTATCACACTTATTCTTACTATTGAGTTGAGATACTGAAAAATCACTTTGGATGTACTCGAAAAGAGGCAAACTTCGTGCAAGGCATAGGGTCGCCATAATCATTGATAGCTGTTCGATTTACCTCTTCAAAATAGACATCGAAGCTCTAAATATACAATATTATATTATTTATAGCCTTCTTATAGGGATTTGATCTTATTTGCTAATCGTTCGGGCTTGTATTTCCATATGTATCGACCAGCTCAGCATTACACACCTGGGGCTGAAGACGGGAAACCGTACAATTATCCACCACCGCCGCCAATCTCTGCCCAAGCACAGCAACCTATGATGAATATCCCTCCTCCGCCCCCTCGAACAATAGCGCAGCCTTATCAGTCCTCAGGTGTGATGTTACCGCCTCCACCAGGCCCGCCCCCATCAGCAGCCAACTGGAAGGGCAACATGGGACGTCCATATGATGCCAGAGGATTTTCGACTCCTTCGGCACCTCCAAGTAATTCTAATCAAGCTTACAATTTGGAACAAAATTACCCTGCTCCGCCTCCAATACCTCACCCGCCTGCAAACGAGCAGATGTCAGCTACATACATTCCAGGTAGCGATACTTTTGGCGCTGGAGTTGGTATACCAGCATTTACAAGTAGAAATGATGGGGTAGAAGCACCCAAATACTCTAACCCAACATCAAGGAACGCTTTTGACACAAAATTCTCCAATGCCACGGAGGAGGAGAGTACAGGAGGGTACTATAAGACTCGAGAACAGTTATACCAACAACAGGGTAGACAAAGCAATGCACAAACTCCCATAGAGTATAGCTCATCAAGTAATACCCCGGGTGGCACACTTAATTTTCAATTGCTCAACAAAGGGCAACAAGTACCGGTATCTCCAATTGTTGAAGCTGGACCGCAATGGACGATGGAAAGGGTTTTATTGTGGCTTTCTAGCAATAAATTCTCAAAGGACTGGCAAGAAACTTTCAAGACGCTCAAAATTTACGGAACTGTCTTCTTAGAATTAGGTACAGGCCAGGGTGGAAGAGGTAATTTTGGCATGATGCACCAGCAAGTTTATCCGCGACTGGCCAAAGAATGCGCAATGAGTGGGACTGGCTGGGATCAAGCGCGTGAACGTGAAGAGGGAAGACGTATGCGCCATCTAATAAAGAATATAGTCACAGGAAGGGCGCCTGAATTCAATAAAGTAACACAACGTTGCGAAGAGCCAGCTTCTAACACCTTTAACCTTACATCGGATCTAGCGGCGGAATACGCGACAAGTGCTGGCCGGAAAATACATAACTCTACCCCAATCACTGCAGACACTGATGATGAAAGTCCTGGAAGACAAATAATTGGCAAGCACGGAGTATCTTTAAATGACAGGGGAATTCCAGGAAAACCTGCTTCCAAACCCATAATATCTGGAAATATTACAACAGAAATTGATCCAAACTACAGCACTCCGAACCAGAATACACATCGTGCTGTGTTTGTAAATATTGAGGACAGATACCGGCGCCAAAGCCCGACTTCAAGTGAGGTAGGTGATGCATCTTTCCGTGGCCCAGTTTTGCGCACGGATGGAAGTCCCAAAAATGGTAGCCCTGCAGCAGTTTCGTCGTTCCAGAGCAACAGTAATTTATCTCCTTCTCTGAGTAGTAAAGCTGGACATCGTACAACCACAAGTTCTGAATCGGCATCTTCTAGTGCAGCAATATACGGCTCTGGTATACCGCCTAATACTGCTCAGCAACTTCGCGGCTGTACAATTGATAGTAACGAGACGCCTGGTAGCTCTAGAAATAAATTGAGCCATCAAACTGGCCACGGCGTAAAAATATCACTCGAAGCTGACGAGAAAGCTATGGGATCAGACACATTTAACCAGTCAAAAGAAGAGAGAGGAAATCCAAAAATTCCCAAAAATAAAAGAAGAGAGGATTGGATTCCAAAGCCCACAGAAGATCTGAACCTCGAATCACCGACTAGCCCATCTTTAGCTTACAAGACGGGAGCTTTGTCAATGGGAAATACTAAATTAGGCGAATTATCATTTGGTCGATCTTCTCCAATACCTTCCAATTTTGAACATGATAGATCACATCATGCTTCGGGGAAAAGATCACAGCGAAATGATACTAGAAGAAGTTATGTACTCGCGACAACTGACGGGTGGAATTATCGGATGTGCGATGTCACCGACATTGAGTCACCAAGCGAGCTTCGAAGTATTTTTAAGCAGAAACTAGGATTCCAAAGTAATGATAATGTCCAAATTTTTATAACTGACCTAGGTAAAGCAGATCATGAGGAACTCTTGGATGATCAGAAACTCTTGCTTTGCAGGCGAACAAGGGTAGACCAACCTGGAAGTCTCAAATTTTATTTAAAAGTTGACAACAATCCTAAATCTTCAACTTTTCCATTACCTCCCAATCTCGGAATGCAGAAACCAATACAAAATAGCCGTCCTCATGGATCATCTTCAGCCACACCGATCGATGAAAAAACCAATGCTAGTCTCAGTGGAACAAGACGGAGATCTAGCTCATCTCCTCCTGCAACTGGGCCCAACTCAGCGAAGCCCGAAGATTCAGGACTAAGTAAATTATCATGGGAGCCTTCAGGAGACAGCCTTCGGGATAGGTTAATGATGTCTAGATTAACACAGCTGGACGGAGGAGAGCGTCAGATTCCTGAATATGAGAGGCAGGCTTTTATGGAATTAGCAGCTAGCGAACATAAAGCAGAGGTAGAAAAGAGACAAAAAGCCTATTTAGCTAAGAAGAAGGCAAATAAAGAGTTCAACGAGGCAGCTTTTTCAGATGGAACACTGGGCATCGTCGGTAGGAACGTGGACTTTGACCAGCCTCGAAATTCTCCATTTGAAGCTCGTCTGCACGACGGTTTACTTCCACAGAGAAAGCCTCCTTCACCTCCTAACGAATCGGCAACGCTACTCAAGGCTAATTCTCTACTTCAAACATCTTCTCGGCAAGGATCGCAGCCTACTACAATTCGATCTGTTCTCAACAATGAAAGCATAATTTTTACTGATGATGATACACCATACAAACCTCATGATATTGCCGAAAATAATAAAAAAATATCTGCAACATCTTCGTCGCAAACAAACAGTGCTAGTGCTGCGACAGCCCCCGGCATGGGAAATCGTCTCGGAAGTGCGGCTCATCTCTACCCGAATGATCCTTACTCGAATGAAAATAGATCATTACCCGTCTCAAGCGGTACAAGTGAGAGAGGTAGATCTTCCTTATCGTACGCGGATTTTGCTACCGGTGGTTCTGGTAGGAGCAGCCCGAGATCAGTCAGTGGTACGCCTGGTAGCACGACCTGGGGCAAAGGGGACACTCCATTCATTATACCTGACTACAGAGATGACGCTAATAGTGATAACGATATTTCTCTTCCTCTACAAATGAATGTAGAAACCACCACTCTAACTTGCGGAGAGACACTAGCGGAAGTAGAGATTAGTCCTAGTAGTGGCAGTCCAGATTCTGCCATCGAAGATTCTTCGATAGACCGGAGGTCATATGGTCCAAACCTGAACTTTACTGAGCCGAATATCGGTTTTAGGAAGCCAAGTCAAGAAATAACGATGGATGAGTCAGATGATGACTCTGATGATGGTCTTTTTGCCGTCCCAATATCTTCTCGCATACCTCAAACCAAATCTAATATGCCATGGTTGGATGCTGAGGAAATAATTAACACTAAGGAAGAACAAGTAGTCAAAAGACCAAATTTGACGATAAGAACCTCGAGATCTAAAAAAGGACTGTCCGTATCTTTTAAATCACCACAGCCATCAAGTGGGAGTGGGCCTGGCATGAATTTCCATGGAAATGACTCCGTCACAGTCGATAGCTCTAAGAAAGATGGGCAAGTGTCACAAAAACTCCTATCTAGTACTAAAGGCAGTTCGGTCTCGTCCGAGGGAGATGGGACTGCTGATGTAAATGACGACATGGAAGCAAAACTAATGCGTCGTAAATCTTTCGCAAGGGAAGATGTCTGGGCAAATAGGCCCCCTGCAGAGGCTTTAATAGACCACCTTGATGCTTTCTTCCCCAACCTTGACTTAGATCAGCCCGTATTGGAAGAAGGCCCAGGTAACGGGGAACCTACATCGCCTGATCAGGATCTTGAAAGAAATGATCGTCTTCCCACATCTCAGCCGGGAACATTTGTTGATGGAATTTCTTCAGCTGTCAAATCACGTTCAAGCCCTGCTTACAGTGATGGGCGTAATCCTACATCTGACGAATCTACCCTTAAAGCTCTTGAGAGGCCAAGCTCTATCCAAAGTGTCGCTCAGCGAAATATTCGACGTCCAGGTGGTCTTTCTCGTATGAAATCTATCCGAGAGGTTGCAAGGGGTGCACACGAAGCCAGCAAGCGATTTACAGCCCCAGCTCCTTCGGGTACCATGTCAAGTGCAATTCTTCGAAGGAAAAGCACGAAAATGTTTGGGGCAAATATTGTGCAGATTAAACCCGAACGTGGAAGTATGATTCTTCCCCAGATTCCACAAGATTCTATACCGAAACGTCAGGCCACATTTCGATGGTTCAAAGGCCAGCTTATCGGTAAAGGTACCTATGGTCGAGTCTACCTGGGAATGAACGCAACTACTGGTGAATTTTTAGCAGTGAAACAAGTCGAAGTTAGTGCTAAAGCTGCTGGGCATGACAAAGAGAAAATGCGTGATATGGTAGCCGCTCTTGATCAAGAGATTGACACCATGCAACATCTAGATCACGCTAATATTGTCCAATATCTTGGGTGTGAACGGAAAGAAACATCTATCAGTATTTTTCTAGAATATATATCAGGTGGGAGTGTTGGAAGTTGTTTACGGAAACACGGAAAATTTGAAGAAATAGTTGTGAGTTCCTTGACAAGACAGACATTATCAGGGCTTGCTTACCTGCATCGAGAAGGAATTCTTCATCGTGATCTGAAGGCTGATAATATTTTGCTTGACCTTGATGGAACATGTAAAATTTCCGATTTTGGAATATCAAAGAAAACAGACAACATATACGGTAATGATGCCACAAATTCCATGCAGGGATCAGTGTTTTGGATGGCACCTGAGGTTGTCCGTTCTCGCGGGCATGGCTATTCTGCCAAGGTTGACATATGGTCCCTTGGATGTGTCGTACTTGAAATGTTTGCGGGGCGTAGGCCCTGGAGTAAAGAAGAGACCGTTGGAGCAATTTATAAGCTCGGCAGTCTCAATGAGGCGCCTCCAATCCCTGATGATGTCGCAGAGGCCATCAGCCCTGTTGCAGTTGCATTCATGGCTGATTGTTTTACCATGTAAGTGTCGTTCCCATTTATTTACGCAAGTAATCTAACTCTTTTATGGTGACCCTTCGGAACGTCCTATAGCCGATACGCTTTTTTCGCAACATCCCTTTTGCAAGCTGGATACTAATTACAACTTTTTTGACACCAATCTCTATGCCAAAATACGAGGAGCATACTAGATATAATCACTGACATATAAATTATATGAATCATGAAATTCCTTAAACGATGAGCAACGCCACTGAATCTTCTGCGGGAGCTTCACATCTAGGGTAACGATGTGTAGATTTATCTTCTTTGCTACGAGGGCAGTGTATAGAACTATAGTAAAGCGTGGGAGCGCTGGATCGCATTTTACATAATGTATATTACATATGCTACGATATAAGGAAGAATTAGATGATGCAGTCAGATAAAATGATAACAGCGATTTCACGTTGTCAAATATTTAGACATTCTAGAGATAATTTGACTCTTGAAACTTGATTGGTCGAGCCCTGAATAAGAATGCAATTCGCTTGGCGCAGTTTTCCATTGGCTAATGCCTTGTAAGCACAAATTGCCGGCTTGAAATTTAAAAATCTTTGCTAGACGCTGCGAGTTCAGCCTATAGTTATTTTCCTCTTTCAGTTTATTACAAAGCTACCCTTGACGGACTAATACAATTTAGCCCCAGCCTGACGTGCCATAACTCAGCATGTTGCATGACGAGAGCGACTCGTCGGCAGATGAATACAACTACACAGAGACAAACGTGCTACTTGGGTATGCGTCCAAAGAGGCCCATGATCCAATCAGTCATCTTGGAGGTCAGCCAGTACGTGCATAATCCCAGATCATTGACGTCTTTCCCTGCTTGCTTGTCCATCTTTCTCTGCGAAAGAGCCCATGATCTGATCCATTTGTGTTTATATAGCAATGGATAGACCCAGCAATACCACCACCGGTAAAATTTGTGCGGTGTGAAGTGTGTCAGGATTTAATGGTCTTGCTCCTCCAACTTAATGCAGATCTACCCGAATACTTTCCCGGGCATGAGCGGCGACTTTATGTTTGGACCTGTCGACGGAAGACATGCAAGCGCAAAAAAGGATCCATCAGAGTCTTGCGTGGAGTAAGGACTTCGAAAATCCTCGTACCAGCGGAGCAAGAAAACGTCAATGCTGACGCCCAGTCCATAATGCAATCGACTCAGGCGGTGACGGATCTGGGCGAGAAACTCTTTGGAGTTAATCGAGCTCTTGGACAAACTAGTAACTTGCCTCCTCCGAACCCATTCACACTCTCAGCCGATGTGTCTTCCAGTAATCCGTTTTCAACAACCAAGTGTGATACATCTCCTGGTACCCCTAATACCGTGATCAAGAGCTATGAGTCTATACCTCGTCTAACCAAGAATTTCGCTGAATTATTTTCTACAAGTGATGAACTCACTAAGCAGGAATCATCACCTTCCCCTGAGACCTGGCCTTTAGATCTAAATTTTCCTGCCGCCTATCCAAACTTCTATCTCGTCGATGCCGATTATGAGACTTTGGATGCAGTCAAGGAACCCTCAGACAAAATTCGGGGCTTGGAATTAGATGAAGGCGGTCCTAGTTGCAGCAGGGCTGAAGATGCGAATGCCTTTGAGAGTACCATAGATAAAACATTCCAGACCTTTGCGGATCGTTTGGCTCAGAATCCAGAGCAAGTTATTAGGTATGAATTCGGGGGGCAACCGTTGCTTTACTCGAAGAAGGATGTTGTCGGAAAGCTTCTAAGTAGCGGAGGAGCGGAACTTGCAAAGGTGTCTCTAGACTCTAGTGTTAGCAACCGAATCCCAAGGTGTGGATTGTGCAACACTGAAAGGGTCTTTGAATTACAGTTGACGCCACAGGCTATCACCGAGCTAGAGAGGGGGGCTTACAGTATAGATGACGGTATGGATTGGGGAACCATTTTGATAGGAGTTTGTAGAATAGACTGTAACCCTCACGGAGTACCGAGTGATGCAGTTGGGTACGTAGAGGAGTGGGTAGGAGTCCAGTGGGAGGAGCTGAGTGAAAGAAAATAAAATAATACTACTGCCTGCAATGGCATTTGCAGAATTGAGCATGAGCAGCTCTTAGCCTTTTCAATAATATGTGTCAGCCTTGTCCACACGAACCAAGCCTAAAATAGCCTTGCCAAAAGTCAAACAGATTCTATGGACACCACAACTGCCTCATCTGAACCTCGATTCTGACCTATTGACCAGGTATGGCGACAATGGCTATGTCCCGCAGCATTTCTAAGCGTCTCGTTAGCAGTCCTTCGACATGGAGCCGACGCCTTTATCACTCTTATGATCATGCCGCGCCGCTGGGACCCTTTAGCAATGCGCAATGCCGCATCCTCGCTGCCGCCCTTGGCCACGTTGGCAAGCATGGCTTTACCCTCACGACCCTCGGCCTGGGCGCCAATGAGGCCGGCTACATTGATGCTTCCACTCACCTCTTCCCCGACGCCGCCTTCAGCCTCGTGCACTACCACCTCTATACACAACGGCTCGCCCTCGCCGCGTGCCCGCCGCCGCCATCCGCTGACGTCGAGTCTCGTATCCGCGCCTACACCTGGGAGCGTCTGCGCGCGAATCACCAGGTCATCGGTCGCTGGCCCGAGGTAAGTCCTGCCTGCTACGCTGGCTTTCCCCTTCACAGTTTCGTCTGACGCGCCGATTGATTGGCGGCTTAGGCGCTCGCGCTCGCGGCCCTGCCACGCAACGTACCTGTTGCTCTAAACGAATTGTCCTTACTCGTCGACGACATTCACTTTTTGGCTGGCGATGCCTCCGTGGATACAAGCTGGTACACTAAGCGTGCTTCTCTGGCAACTATTTATGCCTCTACAGAGCTATTTATGACTGGTGATAAATCACCCGATTACAAAGATACTCGGGACTTTCTCGAGAGAAGGTTCAAGGCTATGGACTCGGTTGGATCATCTCTGAGCGCTATTGCAGAGTGGGGAAATTTTACCGCTAGCGCGGCCATCAACGTTCTGAGGAGCAAGGGAATGCGAGTGTGATGAGAAACTTTGTGCAGCTTCAAAGATAATTTTTATCACATTCTGTCACCAAACCAATGAAAAAATCCTAAACTGTATTACTATCTAGGAGCGCGTCGAAATCCTGCTCATGTTAGCCTGTTGAACCATGTCACGATAATCTTATTTACTACATAGATCTCATTTAAAGTAATGGGGCTCTCTAGTCCACATTTTCGTCATCAAAGCGCGTCCCACGTATTATTCCCAAGAACTATAAGACTTCAAAAAGTCCTACGTTTGGAAAGTATGCAGGCACAATAGTCTCCCGTAGCACATGTGACTACAATCAGAATCCGATTTCTTAATTCTCAAGCATTTCGTCGATGCGTGTCTGTCCTCGTTCTCTAGGATCAAGTAGTCTATGTTAAAACGTATCAAGAAGTAGTTCTAAGTTATTTGGAGAAGGGAACTTACTTTATGATCTGTACGTCTTGATCACCGTTTGCTACACCAGCGCCTAATGATTTAGGGGTGATCAAAATAAATTGTCTACCGACAGCTTTGCGAGCTGCACTGATCTGATCGGTGTGAGAAAGGGATTTAGTGGTGGTGAGTTAACTTACTATCATTTTAGTGCTCACATCTCGATTGACATCATCCATAAAGACATCAAACTCGTCGAGACATCGCAATGGAGCGCCCATAGCCTCCCAGAGAGCCAGTAATAGACAGATTGAGGAAAAGGATTTTTCACCTCCGGACAAGGTTTTCGTCTGGCGCCCTTTACCAGTTGTGACTGATTTATCAGGTTCGACGTGGACGTCAAGCTTCTTGCGCTTATGGTCGATATGAAGGGCACCGCGAAAGTCTCGCTCGCTTAGAAGATACTGGAAGTTAATCCGAGAACGAGCTGAAATTGATGCTTGAAATCGGCGAAACATTTGAATTCGAACGAGGCATGACTGTTTAAGAAGTCTTAAAAGTCTCTCAAGCCCAGACCTACTTTCCTTTGCTTGCCTAAATATCTCTTGCTTTTTGGCGGCTGTATCGAAAATTTCTTGATCAGTAGCGCCCTGCTTCTTGCGATGAAGAGCGAGAAGCTGCTTAATTCTATCAAGCTGACCCTCAAGACTTTCAGTGGTATCTCCGGTTTCAAGAGGAACCCTAGAGCAGATTTTACTGGCACCTTCAGTAAATTCAGCGACCCTGGTAGTGGCTGAATCAAGCTTCTTTTCTGCTATCTCTTTTTCGCGGCGACGAGATTCGACCTCATCAATAGCCAAATTCTTCTCCCGTAAGGCTACATTACGAGCTTGATCAGTGTTTTTAATCTTATTTTGGGCCTTCACTATTTTTTGTTCATGATCTTTTATGCGGAGCTTGACTGCTGTATACTCTTGATGCCTTGCCTGTGCTATTTCGTTAAGCCGCTCTTTCTCCAAGGCCTGGTTGCCATAGGATTCACCATAAATTCTGACTTTGTCATTCTCATCCTCTAGACATTTCTTTAGAGCATCTAATCGGCCATCCTCTGGAGCGAGATCTTCAAGCTGGGTCCTTAAGTTCTCAATTAAAGTTTCACCTCGCTGTATTTTGATTTTTAACATCTCAATTTTTCTTCTCCGTTGTGTAATTGCATCGAGACATAACTTGACTTTTCCATGAGCATCGTCTAATTCTTGGTTAAGTGCCTCCAATTCACGCATAAGCTGACGTAAAGTTTCTCGATGATAAGCAATCTTACTCTCTGTATCAGACTGCATTCGTGGTAAGCCTTTGGGTGGTTTTATTCCGCTAGTAAAAGGGCTTCCACGAGCTGTAAAACCGAAATAGATTCCATGATTTCTTTGGTTATCATGAAGGCTGTAAGCCTGCCTTGTATTAATAGGTTTTGATCCTTCAAACATTATTCTTAGAGCATCTTCTCTGCGTTTAATAAGAAGTGTCTGCTCAATCGCCTGACTAATGATTAAATGTCGTCTTACTAAATCGTTGTCAATATCAAGAACCCTTGCAACAGTTTGATACTGAGGCTCGGGCTCATTGTTGGAAGTGTCAATTACTTGATTTTTTCCCACTATCATAACAGGACACCAATTTGCCATGTTTAGACGTTTAAGATGTCCTGAAATGCGTTGTTGGTCTGGTGTATTGGTGACAATAAAACCATTTAGCTGAGTTCCAAGTTGTGTCTCGAGAATATCTCCCCAGACAGCATCTTTCAATTTGATGTGTAGTCCCAACGGGCCAATAGGCGCATCATGAAACCCTTGATCTGCACGGATTGAGCTTAGGAGTTTGTTCATCTTTGAATCGTAACCGGCCATTGGATCACGGCGGCTGTTATTTAATTCGTTCAGTTGATTCCTAAGCCGCTGAATTTCGGCTTTTTTTGCCTGATTCAAGCCATCAACCCTTGCCAAATCTATTTTTGCTTCATTGTGGTCTTGATCAAGCTGGGAAGCTCCCTGAAGAGTCTCAATATGATCAGCTTTGATCTGTTGGAGGCTTTTTTCCGCTTCATTGATCTCAGCTTGTTTCCTGGCATGAGATCCACCATTAGCCTCTTCGATGAGCTTTTTTTCGGCATCTATCTCAGCCTGGCGCTTGCTAACATCTTCTCTTGCTTCAGCTAGCTCAACCCTAATTTTGCTCTGCTCTGAATGTGCCCGTTTAACTTGCATACTAGCTGCTTCATCCGCAATCTGGGCTTCCCTCTCTGCTTCATATATAGGTATTCCTTCAGCTTCCAATTTCTGAAGATTTTCTTTACAACTTTCTAGAAGTTCTTCGGCTTTCTGGAAGTTTTGATCATGGTATTCGATGGTGCGCTCGCCCTCGTCGATTTTATCTTGTAACTGCAAAACTATCCTTTTCCTTTCACACATAACTGTTTCTTGATCAACAACTTGCGCCCAGGCGTATTTTTTAGATAACATGCTAGCTGTCTTCCGCATACCATCGTGTTGCCTAGCAACCTCAGCTTTTTGTCGCGCCTCATTGGCATCCTTTTCCAATTCACAGATATCATCTTTAGATTCTTCTAGTTTTGCCTCAATTGAATCGCAAGTATCAAAGATTAGGCTGTAGTCATTATTTAGTGCTTCTAATTGCACACCCTCTGCAAAAAATTTATACTTCTCTGCAGGCGTTGACTGATGAAGGAATGATTTAGCTTTGTCTTGTGTAAGAACATTCATTGGGTTATCAACCTGTAGTTGATAGAATTCAACAATGTCTTCTACATCACCCCTCTTTGATGATACAAGATGTCCATTGGCGGCTTTCAATTTAAACTGACTTCCACCAGACTTTGAAAAATGCCGCTCGACGATAATTGACGCGCCATAATGTTCCGGCTGATATGCATCACTACCTTCGTTCTTTAATTTTACAATTAGAATAGCCTTTTCTTGACCACCTTTAATAAGACTTTTGAGGTTGGCTCCCCTATTCGTGTTTGAAGCTTTCCCGCCTAAGCATAAGGTAATCGCTGTTAATACCGCACTCTTTCCACTCCCATTCATACCGACAACGAAGTTTATCAGAGGTCCAACCTTGACGTGAAGCCTTGAATGACACATAAAGTTGATACAAGTAATTTCTTGAATAATAGCATTATTTGCTGCGTGATTATCTCCAATTTGCCCTTTACGTTTTAAAAAAGCCTGGGTTGCCTTACGATCATCAAGCTCTGGATTTTCGAGATGTTTGAAACCATCATCTCGAATTAACTCATATTGCGTGCAAGCAGGTTGCGCAAAGCCATTTGTTTCTTGCGCATCTTGCTCGGAATCGCCATGTGGTGCTTGAACATTTGGATACTTGTTTTGTGAATTTGAATGCGGACTGTCTTGACTTTTTAGAATACGCGGCGCCTTTCGACGCTGTAGTATGTTACTATGTGATGATTTTAGAGTTAAAGCAGACTCAACTCACATCTTCGCCGTTTGTTAAGCTTCCAGATGGCTCAGTTGATATATTTTCTCCTTGTTCTGGTCCCCTTGTTCTCTTGGAAACCATTTCGCATCTAACATGTACAATCGCGTCGAAAGACGCGACTGCTAAATACTCTAGCACGACGCGCTGTTATGTTTATGACATGGTCCGAATTACTTAATATAAACTGCCATATACGATTTTATTAAGCGATGATATGTGCCAGACATCAATTTCATCTTACTCGAGAACTTCAGTATCTAATCCAATTGGTCACCCAGTATTTGTGCGTGAACTCATTACCTGTACAAACACGGCGAGACCCTCAACATCTATTGGCAAAAAATCAAACACAACAATTAAATTTAGTATTAATTCCCAAGGCTGTTTAGATAATGTCAGCAGAATTTCATGGTCAATGAATCAGTAGGGATTTTAAAATTCTACTCTATATTATTCATGATCTGTACATAGATCAAATGGCTATTTTACCTGCAGCTTGGAGCGCACTCTCAAATTTAGGTAACAAATCTGCCAGATCCTCCAAACCAACACTAATCCGAATTAGATCCTCAGGAACACCGAATTGTGCCGCCCAATCTAATTCAAAATAATGTGCTAACAAAACATATGGAGACACCAACGTGAAATTGGTGCCCAAACTTGGCCCCTTGGCGGCCTCAATTCGATCGTAAAAAGCAATGGCTTGCTCTTTTCGATGAAATACGAAGGAAATAAGACCGCCATATCCACCGGTTGGTCTGCGACAAGCATCATAGTGATTCTTTGAAGTATTATACTTAGGATAATGGACATCTTTTATAATTGGGCTTTCCAACAGAATTTTACAGATGGCTTCAGCGTTCTCGTTAATTTTTCTACTTCGCACAACAAAATCTCGACTATTGCGTTCCATGAAAATAGCATCCTCTGGCCAATAGTTATCTTCATATTCACCATTCTCAGCTATTTTTTTAAGATTATGATAATAGCGGCCATTAGGATTTAGGAGAGATGCCCCGCCGAGAACGTTACACTCACCCGAAAATATTTTGGACAAGCTGCTCACCACAACGTCTACGTATGGTAGGACATCTACATTGGTATAGTTGCCGATTGTCTCGTCGATTACGACCGCAAAATCGTAAGTGTCAGCGAGCTTCCGAATACGCAAGAGATCGGGAGCCGTAAGTAAAGGATTTCCCGGAAATTCGCAGAATAGTGCGAGATATTTCTCGCCAGCCTTCAACCTTTCCTCAAGATCGTCAAATTCTTCCAATGAACCGTATCCATAGAAGAGACAGCCTGGTCCGAATTTTTCCAGGATCTTCAAAGTATCGACATAAGGGAATCCAAGGTATATACTTTTCATGGTGCCTCGAGCCTCCATTAGCATTTTGTGCGTGTTAAAAATCGAATTCATCCCGCAAGGCCAAAGGTAAACATCATTTTCCGTGAGCGTAGCGTCCCTAGAACCGTTCCTGCATATGTTTAGCTCCCTTGTTCCCGAGGATTCATTTTTGTCAAGCGATAGCCCAGCTATTCGTCGCCGAATGGCTGACTTCGCAATGTCAGCGAATGATACATCAAGGTTACGTCCAAATCTCTCCTCTAAGAATTGGGACTCTTCTTGGGCCTCAGAACCGATAACAGGAGCTATCTCATTCGATTCATCACGACTAAATTCTTGTTTTGAAAAGGTCTTAACACCTGAATTTTCTCGGACTCCCTTTTGATAACGCCGCGGACCCGTACAAACCCCACGTGTTCCCATGAGGTTGGAAATTGAATCTTCACCTTGTTCTACTAGAATACCCTCTGTGAAGAGTTTATGGCAGAATTCGACTTTTCTACTTGATACACCTTCACCTGTGTGTTGCCAGTATTTCTTTGCAGTTGTGAAAGCTTCTGCCGGAAAGAAAACAGCAGAAATAGAGGGCGACAAGCGTTTTAGCGCCTCTAAATTCGTTTTGCTATGGTCAAGCACGAAGTCTAATTGTTGGAAGTGATCCGGTAATATCATACTTTTAGCTGATTGTAAAAATTCCATGCATCTTTTTGCAGCCCTTGATGAAGGAAGTAATAGTGCGTGCGAGTGATACGATTTACCATACCTTTCGAGTAATTCTTTTGAAAAAGCAGTAATTGATCTATGGATAAAGAATCTTGATAGCAGTTGTTAGTAACATTTTTTTACAGATATGGACCATCGGATTTACACACCGTGGGTAACCCGTGCTTAACTTATCGATAACTCGTGCTCTCCCTTCCTCATAGTCTATATTGTCTTGCCACGTTGGGAGAGAAACACTGACTGCCTGTTAGGACGTTAGCTGCATGTTTGAAAAAGCCATAACCCGACCTACATGAAGTGTAGCTGGTGGAATAGACTCTCCTAATTCCATGGCGTATGAATTTCTCAAACGAGCAAAATATTTTTTTCAATCTGAAGAGGTATTGAGAGTATAGAGACCCTATTTAAACACAGGAGTTCTTACCCTTGTTCTTCCACATGTTGTTGTTTGTTTTACTAATTAATATCCTTTAGAGTGCAGGACTGAAGCTCGGACCCGCAGTGCCTACTAAACTATCTAGAGCGATGGATAATAGTGCTCACTACCCTGGTGGCTAAGTTCCTTTTTTTACATTGAATTTCATTTTGTTATCATTCAATGTGTATTCAGCTATAAAACTATGACACATGACTGGTGCTATGTATACATGTTGGATGACTCTTTTGACGTTAGAGACACTCATACTCTGGATTTCATTTGCAAATACCACTATGAGGTATGCTTGCTTACACAAATAGTCGTCCCGCCTCCGTAAGTACCCACTAATGGGAATTTCAACGCCTCCGATTATCCAAACATGCCTTTGTCATTCATATATATCAGCGCCACAAGAAATGTAGTTGATTTTTGCCGTATTCGAACCAGCGGTCTCCTGTCTCGAGTGGGATATGTGTCATAGCTATAAAGACCTTAATTGAGAGACCGACTCAGATGATATTCCACCGCACCATTAAACCATGGCAGTATTTATATTTTCGCCTGCATTCTCGAGGCCGAAGTCTTGGCGCACGCGCAAAGCTCAATTCGGAAAACTTGTCAAAATTCCATATTTCACGCCCGTCGAGATTGTATCCATTCCCCGTGTCATCTTGTAAACTTGTCCTCATCCCTCTTACGTCCATCCCAAAGAACTGTCTCCCAGACTTGTGCGCTACGCTTTGCTTCCTCTGCTGGGTATGAATACTGGCGTGGACGTGTATGTGATGGTCAACTGAGGCCAGAGAATAGTCGACGAGAGGTGTGGTCATTGAAAGGAGGGTGTTCTAACTCATACCTGCAAACCTAATGAATTCTTGGTGGGAACAGATCTCGTTGGGTGGGAGAGTGTGAATAGGTAGAGAGTCTTGAATCATTACCTTGTGGGCCAACTTGTTCTTTTTTTTGCATCAGATTTTAATTGCGTATGCAGCTATCTAGCCATGACACAATATCAAAGAAACGTACAGAAAAGATGACTCCATTTCCAGGAAAAGCGCTCATGCCTCGGATTTCATTTGCAAGTACCACTACGAAGTTATGGCGGCTTTTTCTTCACCCCATGTCAACCCTCATCCGTGAATACTCACCTATGGGAACGACTCAATAACCCTGAGTTATCCAGACATGCCTTCATAATTCACTGAATTTTCTCCGCGCGAAATGTAATCTGAGATGTCTCCTTCCCAAGTGGAGTAGGTACCCAGGCTACTCAAACTATACAGGAGATAAAAACCATGAGGCGGACTATAGCACCTTCCATCGTCAGCTCGTTCATAGATTGTTAGCTATAATCTCGTAACTGAAGGCTCTGTGCGGGCAATGTGCTTCAATTTGAAACCCTCTTGGCTAAAGTTCGAAATCTCACACCCATCGAGATTATAACCATCCTCTGCATCATCTTGCAAAACTTGTTCTGATTTCTCTTACATCTATCCCAAAGAACTTCCTCCCAGATTTAAGCGCTACGTTTTGCTTCCTCTATCGGGTGTGAATATCGACGTGGGCGTGTATTTGGCGACCAGCTGAGGCCAGAGAATAGTCGACGAGAGGTGCGGTCATTGGAATGATGATGTACTAGATCTTACTTGTAGACTTGATGAGACTTAGGAGTCGATCTCGGGAGTGAAAATTTAATGTGGTGAAGTATTTTGAATCATCGCGTCGTGGGCCAACTTCTTTGAAATTGCGAAATTTGACTAAACTTGGCTCTGGGAGACAATTTCACTCCCAGATTCGTAGAAGGCATTGCGTACAGGTGTTCACTCTTGCCCTCCTGAGTATTAGTTCTAGCTGTCGTAGTATTCGACTCTTAGCGGTTGTATTTCCTCTCGCGCATTCTGAAACATGAGCAGAGTTGCTTCTGGCAGTTGACTAGGCGGTTTCAGTTCTGCTTCCTATTTTGAGATCTTGCTCGCGGATTACCAACGGCTGGCCTGCCTTGTAAGGGCTCGTGAGCCGATTGTTGTCTGTCATGTGATTAAAATGACATTCTATAATTCTATGGTATTATGTTTAAGTCCTGAGCTAAATCTCCAAGTCCACTATGAGTACAGGACCGGTGTTTACAGCCAGGACTACGTGTAGGTCACACCAAGGTCAATTCAAATGCATGAACCACTACAAAACCAGCTGTAGGTTAAAAATATTCGCCGCAGCAACTCCTTCCGCCAAAACTGCCAAAACTATACGTTGCGAAGAAATTAGAACGGGTACCTGTGACGGAAACCGAGTTGGTTGTGGATAAATCGATTTATTAAACTATATGAGGAGAAAAGAGAACTCTAGCTACGACTAACAGGTATTTATAAGAATTGGTCCCCTTCGTCAATCTCCAGACTGATGACTTATCCTTAGGCACAATACTTGCTACCCAGCCACGCATTGCCAGGTGTTACTTAGTTGTAGTAACGCTTCGACCTCCTGACTAGTAGTGCCACTTAGTTGTAAATATTCCTAACAATCCGCTTAGGTATTCACCTAAGCTCTAATAGCGGTCAAACCGTAACAGTACCAATATTCCTCGCCTCGATTCCTGTCCAGTCAGGTTTAATTTTCTAATAAGTTATATTCGATCTCCACTAAGTGTAGGAGATATATACACAGGAGAATACCCAAAACAGTTCATATCCTACGCAAATTATTTGAAGCCCTCGAAGCACTGGGGTCCGAGTAGCTTGTGTAGAAGGGCACTGTGTGACAATGACCCTCTGATTCTACACGTAATATTTGCTTTCAGTCGACAGTGTTTGAAGTGAGAAGGAGCAGTTTCCTTCCCACAGGTGCACTTTGTGGGAGTGCTGTTCGTCATTACACAGATTACTCTTCGATGACTTAGTAGTCTTAATATTTCGTGTCGAAGTAATATTGTGATGAGGTCTTTGCATAATTTAAGGGTACAAGGCTGAATAGTCAGCCTCGTGTAATTTTATCATAGATGTATCACTATTTGAATTTGATTTCAATTAACCCGATCAGGCACCCTATGGGTCCATGCAGGTGACTATCTGCATTATTTATAAAGGAGGAAACCAATTTGGTTGTAACCCCTTGATCCTGTCTTTTTATGTTGCTATCAATTTATTTGGTTTACCTTCAGGAAGTGTAGTGTACACTGTTCAGCCCGTGTGGATTCAGTCCTCTCCCCTTCCAGATCTATTTACTTTATCCGACATTGCTACCTCGACTTCCCCTGCAAGTCGAAACTGTTTTATCCACCCTTAGTTTAGTTTCCACTGTGTAATTCTAGCCATATCTTCAGGACTGTTCATCATTGCTTCAAATGACCTGTCTTTAAACTTCCAGGTGTATCAGTCTACACAAGGGAGAATAAATAGAACAAAAAACATTGGGCAGATATATGGAACAACAAAGATGGGAAAGATTATTCAGGGGAGTTTGATTACTTAGTGTTAATGTTAGATGAATTGTCATAGCTAAATAGCTGAATACAAAATGAATTAAAAAAAAAAAAAAGACCTGTCTTTAGCTTGTCGGAGAAAGTCGCCTCTTCCATTTGCCCACTGCGGACACGCCAACACCATATGCTTGACGTTTTGCGACTGATATCCACATTGACAGCTTGGCTTTTCTACTCCGGGTACTTTTCTTCTGCTCAGGTAAGAATTGAGTTCGATATGATCGCTCCTTAGCTGAATGGCGACACTGCTTTGGGCCCTGGTTAGGCTGCGGTGGATTCTTAAGGGTGTATCTTTGAAGTTCATTTTGACGCTGCCTGTTTGTTTATCAGTAAATATATTTACCGCTTTCCAATGTTCTGGATCGGATGATGCTGGTCGGCCAGGGCGGTGTTTTCTGATCTGGCTTGTCCATGAATCTTTCCACTCCTGAAAGGCCGCTATCTTTCCAGCTTCTTTCTGCCTTCTCTTGTCCTTTTCCCTTCCGCAAGTTCTTGTCCACTCGGCGATATCTTTACTCTTGTTCAAAGCATGTGGGGTTTCTCTCGCGTTTGCGGGTAGCTTTATCCTCTTACATGTCGATCGGATTGTCTGTTGAACTGGGAGTCTATCTGATAGCCCGGCGTGCTGGACCCTCCTTTGTTTCAGGTATATCTCTATAGGGAGGACGGACGATTCGTGCTCTTGCACTCTGCTGCTAGTAGGATTGTAGGCACTTGCAACAAGCTTTAAGCATTTTCTTTGAATACTTCTGAGGGGTTTCACTATCCTTTCAGGTATCGATGTATCACTATTGTAGTTTAAATAAGAACATCTATATCCCAACGAACATTGTTATCTGATCAGATATTGAGGCGCAGCCGATCCAACAGAGAGCGTCTAGATTGTTAAAGCGGCGATGGTGCACCGCAAAAATGCCGTGGCCTGTACGGGCTGCATTTAGATTTCGTAATAGTAGTCTAGAAAGCCCCATCTCTGGTGGTTTGCAATGGCGCATGAGCAGATCCAGCTCACGATACCGTTGTGGGCAAGTTTCATCCCAACAGTTGTCGAGCAAAGCCTGTCGTTGGAGATGCAATTTTTGATGTTAAAATGCAGTTGTTATGAACTTACTTATGGACTGAGTTAGGAAGCTGTTAAGCTATAGAGGTCGAGTCAGTTTCGGCAAGACAAAGGTTCAAAGGTTGTGGGTTAATCACGAATAGATAAGCAAGTAGATTTATTGAGTTCTGATTATCGAAGGGTGCAAGGTCGTGTATCTTAAATTAAAATGGTTAGAGATTAGGAGCGAATTCTAAAATACCAACCAACATAATCTACGCTCCAGCCGGCAAAGTCGAATTCTTCACCTTCCAGTGGTGCCGGTGTAATCGCTCAGGATGCTCTGCACATCTGGGATAGCCAAGAAGAATCGCATCCTTCGCAACTGCAGCTTGC